AAGGGTTCGATCCCTCGTCGGGGAAACTAAGATCCCACGTGCCGAGAAGCAACGAAGTCCATGCGCCACAACTATGGAGCCCTCGCGCTCCAGAGCCCTCGTGCCTCAACTACAGAGTCTGTACGCCGCAGTGAAGATGCCACATGCCACAGCTGAGACTCGACACAGCCCAAACGATAAACAAATATATAAAAAAAGAAATCATAATAAATAGAGCGAAGGAGCAAACTATAAAAATTAACATTAAACAACAAAAGAATAATACACGCAAATGCTCTGCAACAAGAGTTCTAGAGGGCATCAGTCTCCAAGGAAGGCAGAGAAGCTGAGATGCCCTGCCCTACTACGATGACCCTCCCGGGGAAAAACTCTCTCAGGGCCAGGAAAGCAAACTAACTCTCCCAACTGTGCCTCTTTTTCAAGTTTTTGAAACAGGGTTTACTCATTTGGAACTCAATGGCCTTCACACTCGTTTTGTCCCTTGATTCATTTTCACAGGTCTTAGCAAAACGCTTGTGTCACTCCCTAGTCGCTCCACAGATCAGGGCCGTGGTGAAGAGCAGGTTTTTCTGAGCCATATCTGACACTGTGGGCCTGGGGGAGGGGAGGCGTGAACAGATTACCCCAAGGTCCACGTCTTTCATCTTTGGAAGGGGGAGCATTGCTGCTGCCGTGTTCTTCCATGTACGGGATTTGATGTATACAGCCTACAAGATTACAAAACAGTAAAAAGTAGACATTCAAATATAAAACCACATTCATTTAAAACCGTGGTTGGCAAAACGCGAGTTGCCCAGGATTGCTCTATGCTTTAAAGGATGGCAGAGGTTTTTGTTATCCTAGTTGCTTTCATTACACATTGTTGTTTTCCTCTGTGATTCATTTGATGCCACGTCCCAGACTGGAACAGAACTCTCAATTATTATAACCGTTTCCATGGAAACACATGATTTATTCTCTCTAATTCCCTCACTGTTCCCCAAGGACCTGCTCTCCAATTTCTCTACACGCCCCCCCTTCCCAAACCTAGTCCTTTTCGCAATACCCTCCAGAACTTCCACTCCTCAGGCAAAAACTTTCCAATCAGGCTTCCCTGGTGGCTCAGCAGTAAAGAATCCACCTACCAATCCGACACAGGTTCGATCCCTGGTCCGGGAACATCCTACACGCTGAGGAGCAATTAAGCCCGAGCTCCACAACTACTGTGCCTAGGTTCTAGAGCCCAGGCGCTGCAATGACTGCAGCCCAAGCGCCCTAGAGCCCAGTGCTCCCCAAGAAGAGAATCCACCCCAAGGAGAAGCCTGCCCACCGCAACCAGTGAGCAGCCCCTCCTCGCCGCACCTAGAGAAAAGCCCACACAGCAATGAAGACCCAGCACGGCCAAAGAAAAATCTCTCCAATTTGTTGAGTGATCCAAAAGGTGAAGAATTGTGTGTGCAGTCTGCTAACTTTTCAGACAACAAGGACAAGAATAAACATGCATATTTATATTTGCTAAATTAGCAGGGAGAACACTGGAAAGATGCAAATTAAATCAACAGAACAGCTTATATATGGAGGGGCAGTGGCAAGGAACAGGCACAGAAAGATGTGAACCTGGGTGGGAGCAAGACTTCTCAGTGTTTATCCTTCCAATATCCTTTTAATTATGAACCATGTGAATATACTGCTTATTAAATATATAATTTAATTTTTAAAACTGCCTGACAGCCTCAGCTTATTAGAACCTCTTCTTCATGTAGGCCACCTTCATCCTTGTCATCATGGAAACCACTCCATCTTTGAAATCCAAATGTCCCGAGTCTTTCTAGCATTTTAAAATCTCTTAGCCTTGGGACTTCCCTCGTGGTCCAGTGGCTAAGATTCTGTGCTCCCAATGCGGGGGACCCAGGTACAATCCCTGGTCAGGGAAATAGATCCTGCACCCCACAACTAAGTGTTCGAATGCCACAATAAAGACCCCTTATGCCCCTGGAGAAGGGCATGGCGACCCACTCCAGTGTTCTTGCCGGGAGAATCCCCATGGACAGAGGAGCCTGGCGGGCTACAGTCCATGGGGTCGCAAAGAATCGGACATGCTGAGCGACTAAACACAGGACAGGCCGCAGCGAAGACTCAGTGCCACCAAATAAATAAATCTTAAAAACTAAAACTAGAAAGCTTCCAGAAAGAAAGAGTAGAACATCTACAGAAGAGCAAGAATCAGGGTTTTAGAATCTAACCCCTTTCTCTTTAAAAAAAAAAAAAATCTCTTGGCCTCATCCCCTTGTTTCTCATCCCTAGGCCTCTAGACGTCTTTCCCACACCAAGGGGATAAACCTCTTCCTGCTATGGCTTCCTCCGGTCTAGATGCCACTGTTACTCATTTATTCAGCACAGTTTTCCCAAGCACCTGCTAGAACAGGCTCTTGTTGGATCCTCAGTGGACATCCGTCTCCCCCGAGACCCTGACTGCCTCATTACCGTGATCTTCTAGGGCTAATCCCCATCCTTAGCTCAAATCCACCATCTATTGACGCTACTCCGCCTCCACCCTCAGGCCGCTCAGAGCTGCTGGCAAAAAGCACACAGTGGCATGGACCGCTACTATCACAACTGCTGATTCTCTAGCTCTCAGACCTCCAGGCTGCTCAGCAATCTTATTCTGGTCTCCTGCTCTCTCTTCCCACTCCCTGCCAAGCTCTTCCACCTTTGGGCCACCAGCTCAGATTTCTTGCTCCACCGCAGTATCAGGACGGACCTTGTGGCCCTTCGAGAAAATTCATGCATTTTTCTAGGTCCTGAACGAATTCAACCCGCAAGCACTGGAAGTAGGGTGGTGAATATGACACAGCTCCTGGCTCTTGTGGAGCTCAGATCTTAGCATGAGAAGACAAATTAACAGACAGGCAAGGGAAGTATCAGTTGGTGGTGGGTGCTGGGAGAGTTAAATATAAAGGAGAACAAGTGCATGGCTCTCTGAGCGGTGGTCAGGGAAGGCTTCTCAGAAGAGGTGACATCTAAATAGAGATGGAAATTACCAGAAAGAGCCAGTTCTGCAAAGAATAAAGGAAGGGAACAGCATCACAGAAGCGCTAAGAGAGGAAGGAGCTTTGTATGTTTCAAAGAACCTCCATGTGGCCCAAGCACAGTGGGTGATGGGGAGAAGGAAAGGAAAAGAAAGCGTCAAACAGAGAACAAGGATCAGAGTTTAAAGAGCGATGTAAGCCAAGGACACAGGATAGAACGTATTCTGTTTATGAAGCCACTGGAGGATTTCAAGCAGGGGGGTGATTTGACCTAATGTAAAGTTTTTAAAAATAACTATGGCCGCTGCATGGAATCGGATTAATTACAGGTCACCAGAGTGGAAGCAGGGTAACCAGTTGGGAACATCTGCAGTGGTCCAGGTGGGAATGTATGGTATAGATTAGGACTGAATTAGTGAAGATGGAGAGAATTCAGTAAGTTCATGATATGTTTTGTAGGAGGACCTATCTAGACTCACTGTTATGCAGACCTGGGGTAAGAGGGGGGCCAAGGAGGAGTAGAGGATAATTCCCAGATTTCTGACTTAAGCTATAGAGATGGGGAAGAAATTTGATATTTTTTGCACACCTGAGTTCAAGGAATGAGATTGATGTGAGACGTGCTGGTGGCACACACAGGGATTAAAGGACTCAAAACAACACTAAACAAGTCAGGAATACTTATAACGCAATCTCAACTTCAGTAAAACAGCATCTCCCGGTGTCTATAAAAGCATCCAGACTCACTCTATGAGTCCCAGGGACATCCTTCAACATGCGGCTGTTTGAAAAGAACCACTTCCATTCTCAGCCGCAAGAGTGATCTTCTCCAAAACCGAATCTGATCATGCCACTTCTCTGCTTAAGATTCTCAATGGCCCAATCCCTCTGGGTCTTCCCAGTGCACCAGGTCCGAGCACTTGTCTCATGCACCCAACCTGGGCTGGTGATCTGTTTCACCCTAGATAATATACATGTTTTGATGCTGTTCTCTTGAAACATCCCACCCTCGCCTTCTCCCAGAGTCCACAAGTCTGTTCTATACATCTGAGGTGGGAGGGGGGACCGGGATGGGGAATACATGTAAATCCATGGCTAATTCATTTCAATGTATGACAAAAACCACTGCAATGATGTAAAGTAATTAGCCTCCAACTAATAAAAATAAATGGAAAAAAAAAAAGAATCTAAATAAATAAATAAATAGGAAAAAAAAAAGATTCTCAATGGCTCCCCACTGCACTGTGAATCAAATCCAAACTCCTCGTCACCACTCTTAAGGCTCTGCAAGATCCAGCCCCTCCCACCTCTGCGACCTCACATCCCACAACCTCCCCCAGCTCATGGCGTTTTGGCCCCAGCACCTTCTGACAGTGCCGATAATGTGCCAGCCCTTCCCTACCTCAGGGCCTTTGCACTTGCCATTCTCTCTGCTGCAAACAATCCTTCCTAGGTCTCTGAACATATGGCTGGTTAATTCTCATCCTTCAGGTCTCAGATTCTAGGTCACTTTCTCAGTCTGAGTATGTCCTTTCTTTTTTAAAATGTACTTTTTAATCAGAGTATAATTGCTTTACAGTGATGTGCTAGTTTCTGCTGTACCACAACGTAAATCAGCTGTAAGTATATATAAAAGCCCTCCCTCTTGAGCTTCCCTCCCACCCCCGGATCCCACCCCCGTAGGTCATCACAGAGCACAGAGCTGAGTTCCCTCTGCACTGGGGACCACTAGCTATCTATTTTATACATGGAAGTGTATTTATGTCAAAGACACTCTCTCAATTCGTCCCATGAGTGGGTCCCTTCTTTATCTGCCTGTGACACAGCACTCCATTTATTTCCTTCACAGTACTGGTTACCAACTGGAGTGTAGCTCTATTTACTTTTCACTCTCTCCCTCACTGGAACATAAGGCCCATATGAACAGCAAATGTGCCTGCCTTGTTAGCTGGTTCCTTCTGCAGCAGGTGCCTCCACCCAGCCACACTGTACCTTGCCAAAGCTGCCTTTTCCCAGCACCATCAGGAAGTTAAAATCGGTCAGTTTCATCCGGTCCCTGTTGCCGTTGTTGTCAAATTTGGAGATGGTGTTGGTCGTCTTTTCTTCAGGGGTCTTGGGCCCAGGGCCGATCTTGGCTCTCTGGAAGGAGAAGCACACAGAAAATACCATCAGAGTTTGAGGATGCCTGTGTTAAGTGTGCAAACTCCAGCACGGAGGCAAGCTGTGGATCCTGCAATTTATGCCCTGACTCGGTGAAAAGCATGGCCCGTATCCACAGTGCAAACTCAAAATGTGAAGGCCAGACTTGGCACCACCATTTTTCTTTTATCCCTCGTGTCTCATCCACCAGCAGAAACAGTCATTGCTTCCTCCCAGCTGTCTTGAGAATTCCTTCTCCCTTCCATCTCCACCTGTCACCATCTCTCACCTGGACAACCCACCCTGGCTCCCTCCACACTGGGCTTTACATGCAGCAGCTGTGACTTTCATGGCCTCTCTGGTGGTTTAGATAGTTAAGAATGTGCCTGCAATGCAGGACACTAGGGTTTGATTCCTGGATCGGCATGCCAGTGTTCTGGCCTGGAGAATTCCAAAGACAGAGGAGCCTGGCAGGCTACAGTCCATGGGGTTGCAAGGAGTTGGACACGACTGAGTGGCTAACACACACACACACTGTGACTTCCGCTTCTTCACACTCAGCCAAGTCAATCAAGCTTAAAATGCTTCAGTAGTGACCCATCAGTTTTAAGATCCTCGGGGCTTTCACGGGCCCAGATGACCCAGTCTGATCAGGCTCTACCCGCTTTTCCAATCTCTTCACTTCTTGGGTCCTTCTTCCCTACAATCCAGCTTCATTGTCCTTTCGCATCCTTGAGTCCCAGGGCCCTCCTACCTCAGGGCCTTTACACTTACAGTTGCCCCTGTGTGGATGACTATTGTCTCCCCTTCACCAACCTGGTTACCCCCTGCTCCACGTTCTAACTTCCTCAGGGAAGTCTTCCTGGATTCTCTGTCTGGATAAGATGTCCCTATCTGCTCCCTTCATCCACCTCACTTTCCATTTATGCTGCAGGTAACTGTCTGTTCACTTGATTTCCCAACAGACCGGAAACCTTCCGGGCAGGGAGTATGTCTTATATTCCACAATATCCCAGACAACCAGCAAAGTTTCTAGCTAAATATTTTGTTGGATGAATGGATGGATGAGGCCCATGTTGGTCCTCAGTGCAACCGGGGAGAGGCTTGCTGTTGTGAGTAGCAAAATGATGCCTCCGAATGGCAACAAATTCCATGAAATCAGGGGACAATAGGAGACCAGCATATTTATAATTGGAGTCTAAAGTTGCAGGGGGGATGTCCTGTAGGACTGAGCCCTTAACCTATGAGGTTTGTGCTGACTCTGAGTAGCTAGTGTCCAAACTGAATTAAATTGTAGAACACCTAGTTGGTGTCCATAGAGAACTGGAGAATTTCTTGGGATGGAAAACCCACATACTTGGCTTTGGATGTACTGTGAGACTGTTAAGTTTTCCTCCATGGGCTATGTAGTTTTTCGCACCTGGCTTCTCTCACTCATCATAATGGTCTTGAAATTCACTCACGTCGTTTGCTGCATGCACGAATCAGCGGTTTGCTTTTGTACTGCTGAGTAACATTCACTATTTAAGTTCATCCCTTTACAGGCATTTGTGTTGTCTCCGCATTTTGGCTACTAGCAAGGTATTCGAGAGGATTCTTGGTCCAGTTATTTTTTAATAAAGATCTGTTGAGATTTAGGTGTCTCTGGGACAACCCAGTGAAAATAAATACCCAGTGAGCCGTTGTGTCATGTGGGTTTCAGGTTAAGAAATGACATAAGAATTGGAGATGGATTTGAGGATTAAGGCATGGAGGAGGTAGTTAAAAGCAGATCGCCAGGGAAACTGCAAACAAGAAAAGTATAGGGACCTCCCTGGTGGTCCAGTGGTTAATACTTTGCCTTTCAAGGCAGGGAGTGTGGGTTCGACCCCTGGTCAGGTGGCTAAGATCCCACAGGCCTTGAGGCCAAAAAACCAAAACCAAAAACAGAAACAATTTGTAGCAAATTCAATAAAGACTTTTAAAATGGTCCACATTAAAATTAAAAAAAAAAAACTTTTTAAAAAAGAAAGAAAATAGTCTAGATGAGAAGCCACATTGCTTTTGGAGGCCATATCCTCCTGTCATCCCAAATCCTCACCGTCCAGCTTCCAGAGATTTTCCCAGGCTGCCCTGATCCAAGCACGTCCCCTCCCTCTCTCCTGCCCCACTATCTCCCTCCTGCCCCACCATCCCCTTGCTTTATTATGATGTCTCTGAACCCTGACTCAGGGCCCACCTGATTCACACACTCCAATCTCCAGCCCATGAAGATCCATGTCCTGACCGTGCCTGGTCCCCAGTCCCTGTTCCAGCCCTGAGATTTGCTTCCCTCCACCTGGAGGGCCCAGCACGCCCCCCGAAGGGGAAGGAGTGAGGCATGCTCACTTTCCCATTTCTCCCTTTGATTGCTTAGAGGAAATTTTTTTCCCCTGTTCTTCAAGGAGCAGCAAGAGGGAAACAGCTTCATTCCTTAGTCCTGCAAGCAACCTTCTCTCTTCTGAATTTCACATCCCATCTCAATTTGCTTGTGTGACTTTCCTCTTAGGTAAAGTGGGCTTATGCTGTAGACGGATGTCTGTGTCCTCCCCAAAGCTGACACATGTTGACATCCTAACCCTCAAAGGTGATGGTGTTAGGAGGTGGGGCCTGTGGGAGGGGATTAGGTCATGAGGGTGGAGCCCTCATGGATGGGATTAGTGCCCTGATTAAAGAGACCCTGAAGAGTTCCTTTGCCCTCACACGTGAGGACACAGTGAGAAGACGGCTATAAACCAGGAAGCAGAACCTCACCAGACAACAATTCTGCCGGCACCTTGATCCCAGACTCTCCAGCCTCCAGAACTATGAGAAATAAATGTTGCTTAAGCCACTCAGTCTATGGCTTTTTTGTGATCAGAGCCTGAACTAAGGATGTTATCTTTGCCTCTAGATGCTAGATCAGAAGTCTAACAGCCTGTTGGCCTGGTCTGCACTAATATTTAAATTGCCTAACATCTGTTAAAAATTAGGAGCTGCTGCTGCTGCTGCTAAGTCACTTCAGTTATGTCTGACTCTGTGCGACCCCATAGATGGCAGCCCACCAGGCTCCCCCGTCCCTGGGATTCTCCAGGCAAGAACACTGGAGTGGGTTGCCATTTCCTTCTCCAATGCATGAAAGTGAAAAGCGAAAGTGAAGTCGTTCAGTCATGTCCGACTCTTAGCGACCCCATGGACTGCAGCCCACCAGGCTCCTCCGTCCATGGGGTTTTCCAGGCAAGAGTACTGGAGTGGGGTGCAGATGTCTTATTAAAAACCCAAATCCCTGCTTCGTCTAAAGAAGTAGATCTGGCAACACTGGGCCCATCCATAAGGCACAGTGCCTGTAGATGGGACATACGGGCTCCAGTTTATCTCGTTTACCGCTCTCGCCACCAGCCCTGCTGTCTCATACAAAGCTCTCCTCCCCTTATTGTTATCTGCCCAGATCCTAGACACATTTGGGCTTGTGATCTTTGGAGGACAAGAATCCTGTCCTGTGTCCCTTGGAACTTCCAGCCACCTTGTGCTTAGCAAGGTCCTCCATCAAACAGCAAACACATTTTAAAACTGAGGCCAGTCCAGGTTGGATGCATGAGACAAGTGCTCGCGGCTGGTGCACTGGGATGACCCAGAGGGGTGGGATGGGGAGGGAGGTGGGAGGGGGGTTCAGGATGGGGAACACATGTAAATCCATGGCTGATTCATGTCAATGTAAGGCAAACACCGCTACAATATTGTAAAGTAATTAGCCTCCAACTAATAAAAATAAATGGGAAAAAAAAAACTGAGGCCCAAATTTAAATGATCTTCTGTCTTGCTGGGCTGGATATACCTTCAGAAACAGGAATACACTAATGGTTGCCTTTTCATGTCTGCAATTTAGAGCCCCAGGACTCAGTGCTCAAAGACAGCAGACAGAGGCGCTTCTGAGAAAGAGCCCTGCCGCTTGCCAGGCTGTGCCAGGGGAGAATGAAGGCACCGGGGCTGCCAGGCTCCAGGGCTCCATTTCAGATGAAGAATGTCTTGGCTTAGTCTAAACTCCTCTACCACTCCTACCCTCTGCAAGGAGCTCCGAGGGCACTTCTGTACCCGACGGTGGTGGCAGAGAGTCCAGTAGGTTACAAGTCTATGTTGATGCTCCAAACCCCCCAAGAAGCCCTTCCAAAGACCAAGAGGAGCAGGTCTGCAACATTATTTATTCTGTATGTATTCTGGGAGGATGATAATGAATGGGCTGACATCTGAATAATATCACACGCCATGCTGGTTTATTTATTCAATTTTTTTTATTTGGCTGCACCAAATAAAGGTCTTAGTTGCGACATGCGGGATCTAGTTTCCTGACCAGGGGTCGAATGCACTGGGAGTACAGACTTAGCCACTGGAGCACCAGGGAAGTCCCCAGAGTGCATCATTTCATTTACTGCCATAGACCCTCCAGAGGGCAGAAGTGTCATGATACCTCCCCCCCCTTTGCAGATGGGGAATCGAAAGCTCAGAGATAAAGTAACTTGCCTTCAGCACCCAGCAAGGAAGGGACAGAGCTGGGACTCAAATGCAGGCAAGCGGGCTCTTGAACCACCTGAACGGCACAGGCTATGCTGCACAGATGTAGCCCCAGTCATCCAGCCAAGACACATCGGCTCCCCGCCCCTCCTCTCTACACCTGGGCTGCTGGCCGCTGACACCTGTGACTCTGTCTACAGGCTCATTTCTTGACTGCAGGAGCAAGCATAGTCACTGGCAGGCCACGTTGAAATTGCTGGCAAGTTAATTCCCCAGAAGCAGCCAGTGACGGAAGGGGGACTGGCAGATAATAATTCAGCTGCCTGCTCCTTGACTGGAAACCCTGTGGCCCATGCTAAACCCCAGCTAAAGAAGGATTAAACCCCAGTTGCCCACAGTGGTAATTTGCTGACAGTACATCCTTTCCCAACTCACTTCCTCTCCCTGCCTCACTTCCTCACTACGCTAGATGCTTACTGGGGTCACTGCCAAGCTCCTCTGTCCATGGAATTCTCCAGGCAAATACTGGAGTGGGTTGCCACGCCCTCCTCCAGGGGATCTTCCCAACCTAGGGATCAAACCTGAGTCTCTTATGTCTCCAGCATGGCAGGTAGGTTCTTTACCACTAGCACCACCTGCTGCTGCTACTGCTGCTAAGTCGCTTCAGTCGTGTCCGACTCTGCGACCCCATAGACGGCAGCCCACCAGGCTCCCCCCTCCCTGGGATTCTCCAGGCAAGAACACTGGAGTGGGTTGCCATCTCCTTTTCCAATGCACGAAAGTGAAAAGTGAAAGTGAAGTCGTTCAGTTGTGTCCAACTCTTAGCGACCCCATGGACTGCAGCCTACCAGGCTCCTCCGTCCATGGGGTTTTCCAGGCAAGAGTACTGGAGTGGGGTGCCATTGCCTTCTCAAAGCACCACCTGAGAAGCCCCTAAAGAAACCATATGTGCTTGAATCCTGATAGTCTGTTTCTGGGGAAACTCAAAGTGAGACAGTGACCAGCTGAGGGATGTTAGAAAGTTGCTTAACCTCCCTGGGCCTCAGTTTCCTCATCTATAAAAGATAAAGGGGGATGATAGGAGTACCAACCAATCAAGGTGGTTGTAAGGATTGAATTATATGAGTTAATACTTCTAAAACACTTAACAAATGGCACATAGTGAGCACTTTATTAAATCAAAAATTGCTATGTAAATAGATAGCCAATGGGAATTTCCCGTATGACTCAGGAACTCAAACGGGGACTCTGGAATAACCTAGAAGGGTGGGAATGAATGGGAGGTGGGAGGGAGTGGGAGGGAGATTGGAGAGGGAGGGGATATATTCATGTTGATGTGTGACAAAAGTCAAACCATTATTGTAAACCAATCATCAATCAATTAAAAATAAATAAACATTAAAAAAAATTAAACAAACAACCAAAAAAAAAAAAATGCCTATGACTGTCAGAAGACCCATCTGGAGCCAAGCAAAGTGGAGCCCTCCCTGGCTGATCAGCAAGGCCATGGCCAGACAGAAGTCCCCAAACAGCCTCTTCTGATGTCCTGAAACAGACCACGAGTAGTAACTTCACCAAGCTCACCCTACCATGAAATTCTATTACGCCAATTTCTGCAGCTCGATTTTACCGTCACTCAGAATTTCTCCAGATAAGAGGCTTGAAAGTAATTTCTGAGTCATTCTGGGTGCTAATTGGTTATTGCACAGGGATTACATTTCTCACGTTCAAGGTCAACTGAAATTCCTCTATGTGTCTGGGAACAATTTTCAGTCTCTTGGAAACATTTTTTTAATCAACAAACTATGGTGTGGAGCGATTACCACTCAGGCATAAACAAGCGTTTGCAGGCTCTTGCGGGAAATAAAGGGACACGTTTTGTTGCACGCAGATAAAACAACCCTTTCCTTCAAGCCAATAACTGGCCCAGACAAATGCTCTGTGCATGTAAGAAATGTTTTCCTGGGTGTTCTGAAATGTCACCCCAGCTGCCCTAAGGCATAAGAAATCATTTTGCAAAACTGAGACTTCATTTTATATAAGAAAACACTGGTCTTTTTTTTTTTTTTTCCATCCACAAGAGGACATTTTTAACTCTGCAGGAAATGGACACCACTCCATCACAAAGTTGAGAGAAGGAGCTGGAAAGAGCTCTGTGGAAGGCCTGCCCTCCAGTCCTACCTTTAAAAAAAAAAAAAATCAGTGTCAGGTCTCGTTTATTTATTTATTTCTTTTTGGCTATGCTGGGTCTTCGCTGCTGCACACGGCATTTCTTTAGTTGCAGCGAACAGGGGCTACTCTTTAGCTGCAGTCCTCGGGCTTCTCACTGCGGCCACTTCTCTTGTTGCGGAGCACAGGCTCTAGGGCACGCAGGCTTCAGAGTTTCAGCGCACGGCCTCAGTAGCCGTGGTGCCCAGGCTTAGCTGCCCCGCAGCATGTGGGATCTTGCCAGACCAGGGATCAAATCCATGTCCCCTGAATTGGCAGACGGATTCGTAACGACTGGACCAGCAGGGAAGTTCCCAGTGTCCAGTTCTTAACTGTCCTAGGAGGGAAAGTCCTTTCATCCACTCATTTGGGCTTGAGTGGCCCTGTGAGGATGAACCTGTGATCAAGTTGTCTGGAGAATGACTGAGGAGCCCAAGGCCAACATGTTTACTCCACTTGCTTCCATGATAGGAAGTCCCACTGGGTCAGAACCATTAGCAGGTTTTATGGAGGGTGCAGGCTCAAGACAAGGGTCAGGATCCAAGTACTATTTCTATCTAGCTGAGGGGACTCTAAGAGGGTTCTTGGAATAAATGCCCAAACCCTTGCCAAAGCCAGCACAGTCCTTCTACTCTGACCCCCACCACCTCCCAGCCACACTTTGAACTCACACTTTGCTCTCTCTGCTCCAGCCACATGGGCCGTCTTTGAGCATTCCATAGTTGCAATAGATCGCCCACCACAGGGCCTTTACACCTGCTCCTCTTGGAATGAAAGGCTTTTTCCCCCTCTTTACTTAGTTAACCTCCCGTGTTTCCTCAATGGCTCCTTCCTTGTCCTCTCAGACAACGTTATATTTCCCTCTTATGTCTACTCAAAGCACCAAGGACCTCTCTGTCACAGAACTTTACCTGGTCACATTCAGCCTCTATTTACTTGTGTGATTACTTGATGAATAACAATGACAGTAGCCTATTTCATTTTAGATACTTCATACATTTTTTCAGAGTTAGTAGGCCATCACTGCTTATCTAGAATTGATGATTTCCCATCAGACTTCGTATATTAAGTTCCTGTGAACAAAATAATGCATTTTCCCTTATGAAACTACTTTAAAATCACTCAATACACACATAATGAAAGAACTCAAACCTATTTCCCCAAAGCGTTTTCTTTGTAAAACTGGGATATGTCCTACACACCTTCGCGTCCCATGTATGCCCCAAACTCCTGGAAAATGGAGTTTATGTGGCCCCACAGGGGAGAAGGGGTCTGCCTGGGGTAGGAACGGGCCAGCACTGCTGCCCAAGGTCAGAGCCAAGGGCTCCTAATCTTGGGAAGATGCAACTATAGGTATTTCAGGGAGTATACCAGCACAGTCAATTCCACAGTACCATCCCACCGACAACAGATCCAAATCCAGACTCCAGACCTCAGCAAGCCTACTTGACTCAGCTTCCAAAATCTAATCACTACCCTATCCACTGTTTTCATTCATCGTTACTGACATTCTTGTCCAAGCCACCATCCGAATGACCCAGGCAGTGAATGAACACTTTTAAGGAACGGTCTAAATCTGACTGAAGACAGGAAGGCAGAATGATGTCACAAGGCAGGGAACACTTAATTGAGATCGTGAAGGATAAGTAGTTTTCTGGGAGGTGGAACCACATTTCAAAGGCCCAGGATCGTGGAAGGCCTTGGTAGAAATCACACCATGAACAAGAAAAACAGCACAGAGGCAGACTCAGCTGGGTCCCACTGATGCTGAAAGAAAGCCATCTCACCTCAAATTTCTGTCGCAGCTCCTCGTTGCCCTCACTGCCTTCCGGGGGCACGGGCACGTTGAAGTACTCTCCTTCTTCCTGACTCAGTAACTTAAACCTAGAGGAAGCAAAGGAAAGACAAACTCCATGACGCTACTTAATATTCTGATGACTTGGATAAGGGAGGGGTCTACAGAAAACTGCTTTAAAAACATGTGTTGATGGGTTTTTGTTTGGGGATGTATCTCTCTGTGTGTGTGTAGCTGGATATACTTTGTGTATGTGTATATATATATACACATATATATGTGTGTGTGTGTGTGTGTATATATATATATATATAGGAGCAGAGAAACTTTTGTTTGGAGCAGAGAAAGGTTTATTGCAGGGCCACACAAGGAGAACAGGTGGCTCATATGCAAAAAACTCAAATTCCATGTTGGTTTTCCAGGAAGAGGTTTTCTTTTCTTTTTAACTTTTTGTTTTATGTTGGAGTATAGCCGATTAACAATGTTGTAATAGTTTCAGGTAGGTGGAAAAGGGACTCAGCCATATAAATATATATATATATATATACATACACACACACACACACACACACACACACATACATGTATTCATTCTCCCTCAAACTCCCCTCCCATCCAGGCTGCCACATAACATTGAGCAAAGTTCCCTGTGCTATATACAGTAGGACTCTGTTGATTATCCATTTTAAATATAACAGTATTTACATGTCAATCCCACACTCACTATCTCTTCCCTCATTTATATTTTTATAACCATCAGAAAGATATCATGAAAAATATGTTTATAGAATGCAAAGTTCTTCGTCAGCCACTCTACACACACATAGACACACAGGATTTTCTTGGTTATAACACTCAGTGTTTCTATCCATTTTTTTTTTTTTGGCCCATTAATGGATGTTAAGAGTTGAACCATAAAGAACGCTGAATGTCGAAGAACTGATGCTTTTGAACTGTGGTGCTGGAGAAGACTCCTGAGAGTCCCTTGGACAGCAAGGGACCAATCAATCCTAAAGGAAATCAACACTGTATATTCATTGGAAGGACTGATGTTGAAGCTCTAATACTTCAGCCGTCTGATGTGAAGAGCCCACTCATTGGGAAAGACCCTGATGCTGGGAAAGATTGAGGGCAAGAAGAGAAGTTGAGATGGCTAGATAGCATTGATAGAATTGATTGATGGCTAGATAGAAACTCAATGGACATGAGTTTGAGCAAACTCCAGGAAATAGTGAAGGACAGAGAAGCCTGGCATGCTGCAATTCACAGGGTCGCAAAGAGTCGGACACGACTTAGTGACTGAACAACAGCAAAGCGCTTTCTGATTCTGAAAGAAGGCTGAGGCTCTCCCACTGTATCACGCTGTCCCAGCATTTCTACCCCCTTTCACTGTAACACACTGCCACCTTGCCACTCAGTGCTCGGCAGCGCTTGGAAGACTATGGACTTCACTCAGTGATGCTGTTTTTCTATACAGACACCTTCCCAAAGTGTCTGGTAGTCAAGCTACTGAGAAAGTACCCAAGTCCTGGAGTCAAACCATGCCTAGGTCCAAATTTCATCTCTTCCCTTGCCTCTTAGGGTGATTGAATAAGCTAGGAAGATCCCTCGAGCCTTGATTCTTCTCATCTATAAACAGGAATAAAAGCCTTTTCCATAGGATTATGGTGAAGTTGACACGTGATGTATGTAAGATGATAAGCCTGGTGGCTGGCATTTTGCTGTTGCTCAGTCGTGTCCATCTCCTTGTGACCCCATGGACTGTAGCACGGAAGGCTTCTCTGCCCTTCATCATCTCCTGGAGCTTGCTCAAACTCATGTCCATTGAGTCGGTGATGCCATCCAACCATCTTGTTCTCTGTCGTCCCCTTCTCCTTCTGCCTTCAATCTTTACCAGCATCAAAGTCAGCTCTTCACATCAGGTAGTCAAAGTACTGTAGCTTCAGCTTCAGCATCAGTCCTTTCAGTGAATATTCAGGACTGATTTCCTTTAGGATGGACTGGTTGGATCTCCCTGCAGTCCAAGGGACTCTCAAGAGTCTTCTCCACCACCACAGTTCAAAAGCATCAATTCTTCGGCGCTCAGCCTTCTTTATGGTCCAACTTTCGCATCCATATGTGACTGCTGGAAAAACCATAGCTTTGACTATACAGACCTTTGTTGGCAAAGTAATGTCTCTGCTTTTCAATATGCTATCTAGGTTGGTCACAGCTTTTCTTCCAAGGAGCAAGTGTCTTTTAATTTCATGGCTGCAGTTACCATCTGCAGCGATTTTGGAGCCCAAGAAAATAAAATCTGGCATTTAGCAAGTGTTTAATAAAAGGCATCATCATCTGATATTCATATTATTATAATAAACAAAATGGTTTCAATTTGTTTCTAGACCACAAAGATATTTTCATCTAGTCAGACTTAGATGAGCGCGAGGAAGGAAGAGGGACATTCCAAATACAATTAAGTCATTGGGCGAAAAAAGAACCCCAAATTCCTCACTCCCAAAGACTTCCTAAGCAGAATTTACAGTTTTCATCACAATGTTTTTCTCCATTCACAAATCTTCCTCAGCAGCTTCTAAAAATAGACAGATAGGTGACTCAAAGCCAAGATGCCAGTTTGAGCCCAGATGCCTCCACATTTAATAGTCAATGCTCATCTTCCAAACTTCCACTGAAATTACCAAAGAAATATAAAAATAAGAGAACATCTGTATCTTTGCTGGAAATCAAGAAGGGTGCTATCCACAAAGCAGGAACTTCCAGGAAGTTCCACAAATTAAAGTACCAGTAAGAGAGCATGGAACAGTCTTTGGCAAACTTCATCCACCTTTGTGGATTTTGCTAAATCTGGATGTTATTATCAACTTAATGTTTTCATTTAATTGTCTCTTTTTTAAATAATACATTCACTTTAAAAGGACAGTCTATATCTCTACCTTGTAAAGAAAATCAATATCATTGGTTAAGCAGAAAATACGTATCTGTGAAAAATTAAACATATGCAAATCAAAGTTACTCATACGTATGGCTGATTCACTTTGCTGTATAGCTGAAAATGACATAACATTGTAAAGCAATGATACTCTAATAAAAAGTGAAAAAAAAATTATATGGTATTGCTTACCAAAGGCTCTGAGACTAACGCCAGCCCCCCTATTTTGTTAAAATGGGAGCTCAGCAAACAGCAAGGGTTAAAGTGCATTTAGGCTACATCAGGGCCCTCTGAGACTTTCTCTGCAGTCTACTCAAGAACTGAGAAGGATAGCTTTGTCCAGTTACGGTTCTATATGGCCAACACCTCAACCGTGCACTACCTAATCCATTTGGGGCAGAAAGTGTTTTGGAAGATATACATTAAAGGGGATTGACCAGCTGTGATCAGTCAATGGGAACCTCACAGGACCCCACGAGCAACCCTGGATCGGACCACCAGAGATAGGATGAGGGTGACCAATCTCGATCCCTATTCAGGAGGCGCAGGACACACCAGCACCTGGGGTACTGGTCAGAGCAGGCGCCCCCACCCCTCGCACTGGCTGTGGCCAGGACGCTGTCACCACGGCCTCTGGATGTGGACAGTGAACCTATCAGAAAAGAGGAACAGGGATCCCTTCCAGCTTTGAGACGCACAAAGCCAGCGGGCAGGAGACGGCCCACCATCAGGCAGCAGGGCAGCTGTCTCAGGCCATGGCCCTCCCCCCCGTATCTACAGGACCGGGACCCCAGACCTGGCAAAGAACAGTTTCTTTGTCCCTTCATCTGGATATGATAGATTAGAACCGGACACTCAGGTTCCTTGGGCTTCCCTGGTAGCTCAGACAGTAAACAATCTGCCCGAGATGCCAGAGAACTAGGTTCAATCCCTGGGTCAGGAAGATCCCCTGGAGAGGAGCACGGCAACCCACTCCAGAGTTCTTGCCTGGAAAATGCCATGGACAGAGAAGCCTGGAGGGTTACAGCCCATGGGGTCCAGAGTGTCGGACACGACTGAGCGACTAACTCACACCCACACACTCACACTTCTATGCTCACCCTTCCTATGGAGGGCACGGGAAGAAACTCACTCACATAAAGAGAAACAATGAGGAATCCAATTTCCAAGAAATAGAACCAGTGTCAAAAGAAACAAAGTTCCAAAAAATACCTAACTCATATTTTCTGTGAGTTCCAAGAGGTGAATGCATCTATGAAGCAGGAACAATTTGAACTTAGGAAAAACTACTTTCAGAAAAAAAATATATATATAATTACTAAGTTTTAAAAATCCACTGGAGACAGTGAACACTAGGATGGATAACCCAGTAAACAATTAGGGCATTAGAGGACAAACTTGAGAACTTTTCCTGGCAGTTGGATTGATATTTATTATGCTAATTAGATTTGAATGGAATGTTTTATATACCACTAAGAAAAAAAATGCATATCACCAAAATTAACATACAACATAAAAGAAGGGAATATTACAACCTATATTTCAGCAAAGACAGTATTATCCCTCTTATATAAAAACTTCTAAATTAGTAAGAAAATGATAGGCAAAACACAGTACATAGTCATTTATGAAAACAAAAAAAAGGCAATATATAAATGAAAGCATTCAACATAATTAGTAACAAATGTATGTAAATAATAAATATTTATATTATAAAAGTATATATAAAATATATATAACATTATGCATGTATATTATCTAAATATGTATATATAATTAGTAACAAAACATGTATAGCTTCTGCATCATCTTTCAAATTTATAATACCAGATGTTGACAAGCGTGGGTGAAATGAAAAGTCTCAACACAGCACTAGTGAGATTGTAAATTGATTGAAAAAAATGATAGAACAATATGGTAAATACTTTAATAATGCATATATCCTCAAAGCTATTGATTCCAGGCTTAAGAATTTATTAGGAAATAATTAAGGCAAGGGCTTCCCAGGTGGTTCAGTGGTAAAGAATCTGCCTGCTAATTCAGGAGACACAGGTTTGATCCTTGCATCGGGAGAAGGAAATGGCAACCCATTCCAGTATTCTTGCCTGGAAAATCCCATAGACAGTCCATGGGGTCATAAGAGTCGGACACGGCTTAGCG